CCCAACCCCCCTGATGGACTCTGCTCTGTGCATGACAGGGGGCGGCGCCCCAACTCCCCAATTGGCCCTGCTCTGAGCCCGACCAGGGGCTGCACCTAGGGACTGGGCTTGCCCTCTGCCACCCGGGACCAGGCCTTAGCCAGCAGGTCGTTATCTCCTGAGGGGTCCCAGACTGCGAGAGGGCACAGGCCGGGCTGAGGGACCACCCCCTTTCCCCCGAGTGCACAAATTTTTGTGCACCGGGCCTCTAGTTAATTTATAATTATGTATATTTATTTTTTTAAGATTTTTAAATTGATTTTCTTTTTTTTAGAGAAAGGAAGAGGGAGAGAAAAAGGGAAACATCAATGAGAGAGCAAAACGTTAATTAGCTGCCTCCTGCATGCCCCCTACCAGGGATTGAGCCCAAAACCTGAGCATGTGCCCTGACTGGGAATTGCACCTGCAACTTTTCGGTGCATGGGATGACACTAAACCAAGTGAGCCACACCTGCCAGGGCTATAATAATCTATAATAATAAAAGCATAATAATGATTTCATGCATTGGGCCTCTAATGAATTATAATAAGTTTATTACACCATCCTCCAGGAATAAAATTGAGTTGACCTCAAGTAAGTTGCTATTTATATCAGTTTAGTTTAACTTCTTGTGGCCAAGTCAGTGCTACAGATAACAGAAAGGAAGGAGACAGGACCATGCTCTCTTCACCCCCTTCTAGTGATGCTCCTCCATATGAATGTTCTCTGCCTTTCTGAGTAGCCTAACTATGATAATATCAGAGAACTACTGGTTATCTCTTATAACTTACAGAAATCTTTCCCACACCCTGGCCAATGTGGCTCAGTTGGGCGTCATTCCATGCACCAAAAGGTTGATGTTTTGATTACTGGTCAGGGTACATGCCTGGGTTGTGGGCTAATCAGTGGGGAACATGCAGGAGAAAGAACGATGTTACACTCTCACATCAAGATTTCTTTTCTCCCTTCCTCTTGCTCTAAAAATTGATAAACTATTCTTTAAAAAAATTTTTTTCTCATAATTTAAACTGATTCCCATAGCCATTCTGTAAGAAAGGCAGAGAATTAATGACATTTGAAGGATAAGGAACCCATCCAAGGTCAAAGAGCCTATAAATAGAAGCAAGACTAAAACCTGGGTCTTTTGATTCCCATAAAAAACTTTTTATTACAGAACATCATCTCCTTAATAAAAGGCTTGTTCAAACCAATCAGCTAAAAAAAAAAAAATGCGCCGAGACCGGTTTGGCTCAGTGGATGGAGTGTCGGCCTGCGGACTGAAGGGTCCCGGGTTCGATTCCGGTCAGGGGCATGTGCCTGGGTTGCGGGCACATCCCCAGTGGGAGTTGTGCAGGAGGCAGCTGATCGATGTTTCTCTCTCGTCGATGTTTCTAGCTCTCTTTCTCTCTCTCCCTTCCTCTCTGTGAAAAATCAATAAAATATATTTTAAAAAAATAAATAAATAAAAAATAAAAAATAAATGCATCCAAATGCTCTGTATCATAAGCCATTATGGAAATGCAAATCAAAATCACAATGACATACCTCTTCACACCTGTTAGGATGAGTATAAGGAAAAAGGCAAATAATAACAAGTGTTGGCCAGGATGTGGAAAAATGTGAACCCTTACACTACTGGTAGAAATATAATGGTGCAGCCAGTTAGGAAAACAGTCTAAGAGGTGTTCAAAATGTTAAGCATCGTTAACATATGACCCAGCCATTCCACTCCTAGGTATCTATCAAAGAGAAATTTGAAAATGTCTGCACAAAAACGTATACACAAATGATCATAGCAGCATTATTCTTAATAGCCAAAAAGTGGAAACACCCCAAAAGTCCATCAACTGATAAATGGATAAATAATACATGGTATATATCTATATATTGGAATATTACTTGGTCATAAAAAGGAATGAAGTACATGTTACCACATGGATAAACCTTGAAAACATGCTAGGTGAAAGAAGCCAATCACATATTATATCTTCCCATTTATAAAATACCAGAGGTCTGGTGCATGGATTCATGCACTGGTGGGGTCTCTCAGCCTAGCCTGCGGGGACCGGGTAGAAACCGCCTCTCCAACATCCCCCAAGGGGTCCCAGCTTGCGACAGGGTGCAGGCCAGGATGAGGGATGCCACTGGTGCACGATCGGGGCTGGGGAGGAACCCCGGGAGGGCTCCAGGGCGTGTCCAGCCCTGTCTTGCCCAGACCCAGCAGCAAGCTAACCTACCAGTCTCAGCATCTGCTCCCTGGTGGTCAGTGCACGTCATATTGACTGGTCAAACGAATGGTCAGACACTTAACATATTAGGCTTTTATTATATAGGCTGTCCAAACTTGGCAAAACTACAGAGACAAATTAATTGCCGAAGGCTGGGAAGTTTGAAAAAAATGGAGTGACTGGTTTCTTTGGAGATGATGAAAATGTTCTATAATTGATTATGCTGACAGTTACAACTCTATGAATACAGTAAGAAACCATTGAATTATACACTTTAAATGGATAAATTTTCTTATATGGTATCCAAGTTATATCCCAATAGCGTTATTTAAACCAGTGGTTCTCAACCTTGGTTGCACATTAGAATCACCTGGTAATCTTTTTAAAATCCTGATTTCTGGACCTCATCCTCCAGAAATTCTGTTTCTTTGTTACTAATGTTGTGGCCCCAACCCATAACAAAGAAACAAAATTTCCAGAGGATGAGGCCCAGAAATCAGGATTTTAAAAAGATTACCAGGTGATTCTAATGTGCAGCCAAGGTTGAGAACCACTGATTTAAACAAAGGACTCAAATAGGAAAGAAAAGAAAAAAATCATAGTAGCCCTTTAAGATAAAAAAAAGAAATCCAGTGTAAATCCAGTATAAACTTGTGAGACACCTGGACAGTGTTGGCGAATAATTGAATTAATTCCATGGTGGTATTGGAAAAAACACAAAGAACTGCATATTAACAAATAGTAACTCTGCTGTTTCAGAAATATGAGATGTTTTTCCATTTATTTAGATATTTTAAAATTTCTTTCAACAATATTTTATAGTTTTCAGAATATAAATTTCATACTTTTCTTCAATTTATTCCTAAATATTTTATCTCTTTGATACTATAATATACGGAATTTTTTCATTAACTTCATTTTCAGAGTATTCATTACAATGTATAGAAATACAAGTTTTTGTTTTTCAATAAGAGACTTTTTTGCTTCTTTTTCTTTATGTATATTTTTTTTATTGATTTCAGAGGAAGGAAGAGGGAGAAATAGAAACATCAGTGATGAGAGAGAATCATTGATCAGCTGCCTCCTGCACACCCCTTACTGGGAATCGAGCCCACAACCCAGGCATGTGCCCTTGACCGGAATCGAACCCGAGACCCTTCGGTCCACAGGCTGACATTCTATCCACTGAGCCAAACTGGCTAGGATGAAATACAAGTAATCCTATACAATAAAAGCCTAATATGCTAAGTGGCCAGTTGTCCGTTCAACCAATCAAAGCGTAATCTATACTAATAAAGAGCTAATATGCTAATGATTGGGACACCATAGTGGGTAACGACCACACCATTAGCATATTAGCTGGGACGCTGCTCCGGATTTGGGGCGGAAGCAGGTCGGCACCTGGAGGAGGCAGGACCATCCCATGCCCCCCCATAGTGCCCCCCTCACCAGTCCTTCGCCTCCCACCGCTCACACTCTGAGTGCCCTGCAGCCCACCTGCCAGGGGAAGGAGCATAGTGCAGCAGGTGGGAAGCTTCCACGCTCTCCTCCGGTGCCATGATGGGGTGGAGCTGCCACGTTGCTCCTGAGATGGGGAGGAAGTGGAAAGGCACTTAGAGGAGGTGGGACCAGCCCGTGGCGATTCGAGGGACTGAGAGAGGGGCTTAAAGTGGC